ACAACAAGAGGAGGTTAGTGATATGGGGCGGTAGTTTTGAACTAATGATGGATCGCCTTTCTTTAGGATAGGAATGACACGAGCAGATAGCCAGTCGTTCGGAAGCACTGCTGAAGATAGTGATGCACGAAAGATGATAACAAGAAAACGCGATAGCATTTCGGCGTATCTGTGAAGAAACACGTTTGGTAAGTTGTCAGGCCCGGGTGATGATTTTGTTTTTATATTCAACAGCATAGAAAAGACGCCAGGCAAAGAAACAAAACTAAAGTCATCCTTCACCAATGTGAGATTCAGGCAACGGGGAACAGGCGAGTTTGAAAATATACTATTAAAATAAGCATTGAAGTGAACAGCGATCTCTTGTTTAGCGACGACAGGATTGCCCTCGTGCATAATATGGTCAACTGGTTTACTTTTTTTGCTGAGAAAGCTCCAAAACTTGCTGGGAGCAGTTCGGATGAAGTTAGGCAGGGTAAATTGAAAGTAACGAAGTTTAGCTGCCCTAACAGCCTCGTTTAATTTAGCTTGGCATGGTACGATTTCGTCACGAGAAATACCCCGTCGTCTCAGACGTTTGACTTTTCTCTTCGCATGCACTATCTCACGCGTCATCCAGGGAGTAGGTTTGGATGTTTTTTTAGTTCTGCTTGGAATAAAGTTGTCGATACAGTGCATACAAATATTCTTAAATTCGTCCCAACGGATTCCCAAAGCACCGTCTGTTCTTTTGATGACCCATTCTGGTCTCCATCTTTGTCCAGGCTATGTTAATGGAACGCTGCTGCTCCGTCGCCCACAGCAATCTCTGCTGCCTTCATCACATTCACCTCGGAAATCAATTGCTGCGGCATCTTGCCCATATGCGCCGCCGCAGTGGTCTAGTGGCTGAGGTTCTCGGCAGCTGACCCGTAGGTCACGGGATCGAACCCTGGCTGCGGCAGCTGCATTTCCGATGGAGGCGGAAATGTTGTAGGCCCGTGTGCTCAGGTTTGGGCGCACGTAAAGAACCCCAGGTAGTCGAAAGTTCCGGAGCCCTCCGCTACGGCGTCTCTCATATTCATATAGTGGTTTTTGGGACGTTAAACTTGACATATCAATCAGTCAATCTTGCCCATATACGTAGTGTGTGTTCAATCTATGGCGTTTGCGGACGCTGAGGGGTGCATGCGTAAGCGGCCAAAGATTTCGTCCAACGCGTATCACGTGAAATGAATGTAAAAAAGAGTGCTTGAAAATTTGTGTAAATAGCGTCTACACCCAACAGAATCAAAAGTAAATCGGCTAAAGAAGCAATCTTAATGAAGTAGCCTACTATGGTCCTTTAGGTTTCAGTAATGACCACAAGTTAAACGCTATAGCAAACAGGGGTCTCTGGCTTGATTACCATTAGTAAACTTGTATGGAAAATACGTGTGCCAAACCGCAAAAGGTTTACGAACACCGTATAGTCAGTCAGCTCAATTTCCTACAGCTCAGGTAGTGCTCACTGTGAAGTGAACGAAGGGATCATATAACGTAACTACGTTCTGGGTGTATATTTCTTAATGATAGGAAAATACTTACCTTGAGATGAGCCTTCGCAGAACTATTGCTAATGAATACTGACTTGAGCTGGTGAATAACACACTTACGTTACTACGTAAGTGCGTCTAACGTAAGGGTGTTTGGTCTAGTTAAATAAGTGTAAAAAAGAGCGCTTGAAAATTCGCGTAAAAAGCGTCTCTACTGAACAGAATCAAGAGTAAATAGGCTAAAGGAGCAATCTGAATAAAGTAGCCTACTACGGGCCTCAAGGTTTCAATTTCGGCAAAAGGTAAACACTATAGAAAAGAGGAGTCTATGGCCAGATCATAAATATATCTTGGCCAGAACACATGTCTGCTACATGCAGTTCACAGCCACCATGAAGTAAAGGTAATATGTGGAGTTTTACGATGAAATTGTGAGACAACCAGCTGTGAAGAGCTCCGGAAATACCACCTAGGGTTCTACAACGCTCAATTAAATCTACAAACACATCTGTTTCAAGCATTTTCGCCTTCACTGAAACTGTGACTGTGGCGACCGTCATCGTACCCACTACCTTCATGTCTGCAGCCGCACACCGTAAACACTTCACCACTTCAGCAGCTGGAGTGAAGTATGTGTGGGTGATCAACTTTTCATGGCGAAAACTCACGCTAACATGAAGGTGCCGCTTGAAATACCGCACACCGGCACCCTTCAACTCGCCACAGGGCGTTAGACAGTGCTATGTCGTTTCCCAATGACAGTCAATAATCGGTGAAAAAACTCATGAGTCAACTCACTCGGACTCACTCAGACTCAGGTCGAGGCGTGAGCCTCAGTTTGAGTGAGACCGGGGTGAGTAATGTTTTCTTGAGTGTGAGTCCCAGAGAGCCCGGCTGAGGAAACTTTGAAGTCTTAGCCTGAGTGAGAGTATAACGCAAGATATAACGCAAGGTGAGTCTGAGTGATTTTCATTTTCTTATGTTGACCTATAATCATATATACATATTCAGCATTACTATCAGTCTTAGCTGGATTCCCATTTGTACTGATGTTTACCGACACGTATACCGAATGCAGTGTTTTTCAGACATCATTTCAATATTTATCGATCAGAGGAGGGAATAGCGTACGGGAAGGTCTTGACCTCCTCTCCCACCGGCACCACCACTTCTTCCAAGGAAGTTCTTGATAAATATATCGACTGTCCTTATCTCTTTCAAGAAAAATTCCCGTACTAGTTTACGAGCACTCATAACTCATACTTGAAGGTACTATATCTAAAAGCGCCAAGAATAGAACTGATTAATTGACATATTGTTGTTTAAGGACACTGACGTCATTATTCAAACTTGTAATTAGGGACTCCTTAGTAGGCTCACTTGGACTAATACTCAGAGCAAGCGCTGAGTTTGAGTCCGAGTGGTTCCACTTGGAGAAAACTTTCGCCAGTCTGAGTCAAAATGATTCCTGTTGCATAAAATTTTCGTCAGTCTGAGTCCGAGTGATTCCAGCTGGAGAACATTTTCGTCAGTTTGAGTCCGAGTGATTCCAGCAGGAGGAAATTTTTGTCAGTTTGAGTTCGAGTGATTACTGTTGCAAAACGTTTCGTCAGTCTGAGTTCGAGAGATTTTAGCTGGAGAACATTTTCGTCAGTTTGAGTCCAAGTGATTCCAGTTGGAGGAAAGTTTAGTCAGTTTGAGTCCGAGAGATTACTGTTGGAGAAAAAAATCGTCCGTCTGGATCCGAGTGATTCCAGTTGGAGAACATTTTCGTCAGTTTGAGGCCGAGTGATTACTGTTGGAAAAACAATTTTCGTCAGTCTGAGCCCAAGTGATTCAAGTTGGAGAAAAGTTTCGTCATTCTGAGTCCGACTGATTTTAGTTGGAAAAAATTTTCATCAGTCTGAGTGCGAGTTACTCCAAGGCGCGAAATGTAGTTCATGAATCGGTCTGAGTGGGCTCCACTAGTTTAGCCGAGTTACCGTGCGACAGGTTTTCTACCCATGTGAAACTTCAGTGGGAGTTTCATCATCCTAAGAAAAGTGTAAATGGGCTGTAGTATAGACATGGAAATGCTGGAAAGCTCAATTTATTAGAGTGTAAATAGATTTTAGTGCATGCATTACTGGAAATATTTCACCTAGTCAAGAAACACAGAGGCGAAGTAAAACGGTAGCGAGTCTACTCCTACGGAAACCGATCAACCAAAACAAAGATAGAGAAAGAGGTTAAGGGAAAGACTGTTTGCTGGACTAGTTGGTCGCTTAGTAGTTATTTATTTTATTCACTCTGTGCTTGGGTTGTTTCATGGCTAAATTATGTCACTAGGTTAAGGGAATGGCCGCGAGGCTAACTTGAAGTTTTTCGGTTGTCTGCCGTGCACTGCAGAAGGTATAAGAGAGAATAGAAAAGTGAGGAAAAACTGCTGATAAACGCCAAAACTTTATTGAATTGGTTTTCATAAAGAGGGTAAGTCATGTCTGTGATATTTACCTTCAGCACGCGTTGCAGACAAAGTGTTATATATTTTCAAATTAATTGTGAAGATATTTGCCGTTCGCGCAGCTTGGAAGCCTCTATCATATTACACAGGAGTTTCAGTTCGTTGTGCGAGCTTCCATATGTACTATTAGGCCAGCGGTTTCATTTAATGTCAACAAAATTATAATATCTGGTGTTTATCAACTCCTAAACCATGGTATGACTATGACAGAGGTCGTAGCACTGTGCTCCAGAAATTTCGACCCTCTCGGGTCCTTTTAAGTGCACCTAATTATATTGGATTCAAGGATTTTCGACTCCATCTGAAATAAGGCCACTGCGTCCTAGATTCCATTCCACGACCTTCCTACCGAACTTGAGCTCCGTAGCCACTAGACAACCGTGACGGGTTTGGTTTAATGCCTAAAATTGTAGTAAGTGCACCCTATACAATCACCAGTATTTTGTCTTCGCATCAACTATAAAATGTGAAGAGAGTGACATTACTAGGAAAACAAAATACATGAAATGTCCCCCAAAGTGGCAATCAATGCTTTAAATATTTCTTAAGTGCTTGCACCCCAATTATGGAACAATCATCAAATTAAGTGGATTTTGTTCTTACTTCTAATGCTCGGTAATGCTCGGCACCTTTGCCCAGCATTGGCCACGCGTATTAAAAACCGTGACCGAAATGATGCGAAAAACATAGATAAAAAAACTATATTTATTGCATAAATACAAACTCGGACGGTCCCTCTAGTCTGGCGTTACCATTGGCTGTGACTATAGCTAGCTCTAGCGTAGCTGTGTGGCAGATCGGAAGGACGCGTTCGCTCGATTACAGCGAATATTGAATTGCGCGCCAGTGATCAGGCTTCCGCGATTGGCTGCAGCGCTGTCCAGGCGGCGCTGCCAGCGTTTTCCGCTTCTGCTGCACGCTACCCGATGTTTCGCGCCTGGATCGTCTGCTCGTTCTCACCTCGGCGCGTTCGCAGAGCGTCGTCTGCTACTGGTGCGTGTGGGTGCGCCGATATCACGTTGTCGGTGCGTGGCGGTTGCCTGTGCGGCGGTTGCCTGTGCGGCGGTTTTCCCGTTCGTTTGCTTTGGGACGCGGCAGCGGCGTCCTTTTGACAACTGCATCGCTCGCGGAGCGTATCTTATCTTACACACACGTCGATAAAAATAAAAAAAAAACTACGATTTTCTGGAGTGCCCGACGAGGTGTGTGGATCGCGCTCTTGAGACTGTGAGTGCTTGCATTCGCGCTACATCGCGTAGTCGCCGAAAGGATTACCCTACGTGGATCAAGCAGAGCACTTACAGGTGTTTTCTGGTGCCGAGCTCCAGCAGTGCTTCGCCTGTTGAATATTGAGAATGTGTTAGTGATCTCCCGTTGAGGTGACCGGTCGTCATGGCAGCAGTGTTCGGAAAAGTGCAGCAGGCAATGGATAGCCGTACCTACCTGGCCGAGCTGATGAGCGAGCGGGAGAAGTTGTCCGGGCATGCCGCCAGGCTGGTGGACCAAGGTAAGCGCGGTTTCTTGAGACTGCCTTGCTAGAAAACCGCTACAAAACGCGTACAGAAGATAAAACAGTCCAGAAAAAGAATAATAAACTGAAAATGAATCGGTTAGGCGAAAAGTCTGTCCTCACAGTCAATTTATTTTAAGTGCTATATTACTGTTCGACACTGTCTGCTTCTTCAGATGATCTCAATTCACGCACGATATTGATCTCTATTATACCACTAGAGGTGCTGAATAGTTTATGGAGGCCGCGACACCTGCGGTGAGTATCGAACCACTGTATCGATTCGCTATGATTATATGGATACCATACAGGAATGGTCATGGCAACTGTTATGTTTTCTTTTCTGCACTAACAATGCTAATAGTGTTTTCACGGTTTTTAGGATGACAATTTTATTATGGTACTACAATAATGTATAGAGCATATGAGAATCTTGGAGCAGTTAACTGTGATCTGTCGCACTAAATTGGTAATCATTAGAAGAATAATGCGCAGTGGCAAGTTCCTGTGTAGCTTTAGTCGAATGACAGCTCGACTGAAGCTACCGAAAAAAGACAGACGTGTGAGATGTAGTTAAACTACCTGATCGTGACGGAGAAGTGAAAATCAAAACACTGAAATAGAAACACGTGCACATTATAGCGCATGAAACGAACACCAGTGACAATTTTTATTAGATGGTTTGTAGCACAGCATGGGAAGTGGGAATAGAGAAAAATGAAGACAGACAAGAAAAAAAGCTCATAACCAACTATTGAATATACATATATATATATATATATGACACGAAAAGTCTGTGCCAAATCATGCGTCTTCTAATCAAATCAATGTAAGTGCGTGCTCATGATTGTCCGACAACCCGGTCAAGTAATCACTCCGAAGTCTTCAAAGTAAAAGTAAGCCAGCTGAAAATTACTTTGCCCGACAATATTGCGAGTTCGTTTTACTTTTAGCGTTCAGCGCGCACACAGCTTGAACTTGGATTGATCTGTGGGGTTTAACGTCCCGAAATCACGATATGATTATGAGAGACGCCGTAGTGAAGGGCTCCGAAAATTTGGACCACCTGGGGTTGTTGAAGGTGCAGCCAATTCTGAGCACACGGGCCTACAACATTTCCGCCTCCATCGGAAATGCAGCCGCCGCAGCCGGGATTCCAACCCGCGACCTGCGGGTCAGCAGCCGAATACCTTAGCAACTAGACCACTGCGGCGGGGCCAGCTTGAACTTCTACGAAATAGAGATCAGTAGGAAGCTATCACTTATTTTTCTGCAGTGTGCTTTTTCTCTTGCGCTGCCACACTGTGTTATAACGAAATCATCGTAAGTAAACACGTACTGCAGTCTTCTACTCGTTCTCACCAAATTTCTCACATTCTACACTGAGCCAGAATGCTCAATCATAGCTCAATGTTTCTTTAAATAGCACAGTTTATGTGGCTGGTGTTCTCATTCTGTAAAATATAGCAGCTCGTTGTTTCTTTTGTGGCAGGTTCCCATACTGAAGGAAGCGAACTGAGGGATATCGAGAAAGTTTTGCCTTTTAAATTCTCGGAAATGGAACAGCTAGTACAGAAGAGGCGAGGCTTTTAACTTCCAAATTGCTTCTCTCTCGTGTCTAAGGCACCAAAGGGTATTTAGGAACGTGCTCAGATCAGTGATTATAAACTGACTGTTAAAGATGTGCTGGAGGCTCTGGAGGTGTTCTTTCACGAATACATTTGTGCACAACCTATATAACACTGTCATGAGGTACCACGACTGCCCCATTTAGTAATACTACTCGATTCGGTCGTATAGCAACAGCCACTTCCAAATAATTATTCAGAGTGTTGATAGGTGTGAAAACTTATACATTGCGTGCAGTTTTAATCCTTTTCTGTGCGACATCAAATGGCACAATATTAACCCTTATATCAGATGAACCCAGAGATAATTTTTCACCTGCGATGGTGACGTAATGTCAGTAGAAAATAATTTTTTAAACTATAAAAAGTGACTAGTTCTTCGATATGCAGAATCAACAGAAAAATGAAGACTAACGAACAAAACGAGTCACCTCTGAGATCTCTGTGGCAACGTGCGAAGACTGGAAATATTCCAGAGTTGCGGCGCTGGCCCTATTGCCTTACATAGGTCTGCTTTATGTGTACCTGCACATGAAAAAGTGTTTAGCCTTATTGGAACCTCAAAAAGCTCCTCATGTACAATTACTACCTGGAAGTAAAGACAAAGCAATTGACTAGCACGTGGCCGTGTGCTATCGATAGTGCCAGCTTCGGAAATGTCACTAGTGGTACATTTCAAAGCAGTGCCTAATATTCTGTTTCCTATTTGCAATCCGTTTCATAATATTCGCTTTCGTTGTTTCTGCACCTTATGGGCTTTGTTTACAACACCTAAAACTCTAAATGAGTGCAATATTTTGACACATTGAAAAGCCAATGTTATATATCTACTTATTTTAGTGATGTTATCTCTTTTTTTTAGTGACGGCGTTTTTCTATGATTCTTGGAAAAACGCTCGCGAAGCTTCTTCCGAGTTCTTGTGATGCAATTTTCAAATTGTGCCTACCGTAGCATTTTTAGTGTGAAATATTTGCCAGTCATCTCAGAGAGAGAGAGAGAGAAAGAGAGACAGAATTATACATATTAAATGTTGGAGGTGTTTGCCTGAATATCCACCTGAGATGTTACTCCAAAAGCAAGGTGACAAGTATTATTAATACACCGATAAACACATACCACTAAATGCACTTACACTACATTATTTACAAAGTTTCCCGCGACCTGCGGACCAGCAGCCGAGTACCTTAGACACTAGACCACCGCGGTGGGGCCGTCTTAATCTGTGTGTGTTTGACTGTTTCTACGTTAATTGTTTCCTGATGATTGGCGCAGACATGTTAGAGATAAATGAGAGACAATCACAGACGCGACACCAAGATGCAAACTTCAGTGGCAGAAACGCACGCTGAAAACAAGCATTCGCACCTCTCGTAGACCCATGGGCTGCTTGCACTAGCTTTTGTTGACGAAATTTTGCTGTATAGGTAGGTTAAACTCAATGCAACATAACTATATTGAGCTTAAGCTTGGACTGACTAGGTTGAACTCATTGTTAGCTATGTTCGGCCGGCGTTGTGGTTATATGGCGGTAGTTGAGACGCTGACGATCTGTAAGCTTCCCGCTGCTTTCATATTTCCACGACATAGTATAATCGCGAATTTTATGTTAGGTTGAAAGCGCAGCTGTACCATGTTTCGCTAATTATATGCCTGTGTGAAACCGTACAATAGAAGTGCCGAGAATTGTTAAATGTTAATCGTCACCATCAGTTTTCTAATAGGTCTCACGATGCCACATTTCCGTTTGATGACACGTTTTCGTTTTTAGTTTCAATGGATCGGTTGTGACAAGTAGCATTCAACCAATTCCTTGGGATACATGCCCGTTTATCATCATCATTTTCGCGTAGACCGCACAGTATCCACCGTCGGCAAGACAAATTACGGTTAGTTTAATAGTTTCGCCGTTGAAGGCAAGACGCCTACAAACAGGTCACAAAATTTGACATCATCGGAATGAGAACGCCTGTTGCAGGACCTCGGCGTTTCCATTCTATAGCAATTTAACATGGTGCTTGCAGTGCCGCGTTATCACCGCACACTTCCCAATCTCGCATACCAGCATATTCTTTCCCGCTCCTTGTTCTCTAGCATTCACTTGAAATCCAGTCCGTTACTCCTCATGACCAGTGGTTATCTAGCTCTTCCACTATATGCCTTGGTAACGCCTCTTTAGTCTTGATTTTGACGAAGATATTTTTTGCACATGTTTTCTCACGGACACAATGGGAAACAATCTTGCCACTTAGGTTTCATCTATCATTTACCTTTCATGGCTGACTGCGTCCTCCTCCATTCCAATCACAAATACAAGGAAATAAAACGGTCTTCGCGTTTTCTGTTTCCCCATAAAGTCGCTTCCGCGTATCTGTGCCGTACCACTGTTAGGCGATCACGGCGGGCTATATAAATTATAGGTGAACAAAAAAATCTTATAAGAAACGGTGGGATGCATTCCACTCCGTAATTAACTGTGAATGACGACAGAAGCTGTTCAGTTTATGGAAGAGAAGTAACACATATTACTGAGCCAAAGCCTACCATGCACTCCGCAGCTGAATTTCAATTGTACGTACGTCCAGGAAGTCACTTTTGTATTCATCGTGGGCTGCTTCACAGTTTTTCATTTAAGCGGCATGCGACTCTTTGCCGCGACACTCGTCGTCCTGCGTCGCTTGCCACAAACGATTCGCGTTTCTGGCACGGTCTTAAACGGCCTTTGAACCACTTCGAGCTCTAGGATGATGAAGAGTACGCCCGAAATTTAATCACACGTGCATCTACCCTTTCACCTCTATCTCAATCTCTATTTCGCCTCTATCACAAATCAGCGATCGCATGCCTTTACCGCTAGACCACCGTGGCGGGTTAGTGGCGGGCTCTGCGAAATATTTGGGGCACGTCAGTTTTTCTTAACGTAGAGGAAAGATGCACGCACCCTACACAGCTTCGTTATAAAATGAATTGCTTGCACCTGAGAAAAATCAACGGCATACGGTGTGCTGTAATATGGCACTGCCTTGAGCATCCTTAAGTTCTAGTTAATTAGCGAAATATGGTCAAATTCGTTAAATCGTTAAACACTCATACGCTTCCGTTGTATGAGTGTTTCTTAAGGTTCAGAAAGTGTTTTTTTCATAAACGAGCCTACCTATTTTAATGGTAACATGTACATGCTGGTTTGTGATATTTTGGGGTGATAATAAGGGAGCCCAAGAGAACATGAAACCGTGCTACGTGTGTGGGTAGGCTCATACTTTGTTGCGTGCAGCATTGTTAACCGTGCCTCGGGCGAAAGAACCGTGCTCGCTCCTTTGGCTTAATTATCAAAGTCGGCTAACCAGGGTCTGCAACGCGCCGTCGTGGAA